CTCTCCACTGCGCATTCCACACTCCACACTTCACACTCCACACTTCACACTTCGCACTCCACACTTCACACTTCACACGTCGCACTCCGCACTTCACACTTCACACTCCACAACACATCACCTTTTCGCGACGAGGACGCCATCACCTTTTTCACTTTCCCCATAGGACAGCGGCGACGACGCCATTAGAGAGTCGCGAAGCAACTTCCGCTTGAGTGCCACAAAGTCCCACGGGTGCCACGCGAAATGCACTTTCACACGTCACCTTACATCACCTTTTCTCACTTTCTCCATAGACACCGCGACGACGCAATTAGAGAAAACAAAACAAAACGACGAGCAAACATTCCACCACGCCCAGACCCCCAAGAAAGAACACAAGAACCCTTCGCTACGCATTCGGGAACAAAACGACTTGGTAATACTAAAAAGTAGATCCTGTATATCTGTATAATGCTTCGGTAACTATGGTCTTTTCTGAACGGTCTGAAACTTGGCAGATTCGTCTCCCTTTTTATCATCCGTCCGCTGACTGGACCGAGCCTTTCCACCTTGGCCACCTTGGGCAGGCCTCCAACACTGTGACACTTTTTTACGAGAAACTTGGCATATTTGGCATGAGAAATGAGGTTGACTTCTTTACCGTCCATGAAGCAACAGGTGAACATGATGCGCCGTAGAGTTTTCCAACGCAGAAAACCTCACACTATTAATGTGTGAATATATACGTGTATATATATATATATTATATATATATATATATTATATATATATATACAATTATGTATAATATATATATATATATCATTTTTTTATCAAACATCTGTATTTTATATTGATGGTACATCCAACTTGCCTGGTTGCTTATGCAGTGGCAGACTTGGCCTTATTTTCCTAGGATTGGTTGGGAATTGAACTGAATCACACTGGTCTCATGTGCCAGATCAGAACTTACCAACATCACCATGCAGGTTTATCAGATTGAACCCAGTAGGTCTTCAATCATTCAATGATTCACCTGCCAATGTTGGATGCCCGCCTTTAACATGTTTTTCTTGCTCGGACCAGGTTTCGGTGCTTCCAACTCTACTTTGCTGTCGCTCCCTTTTGGACAAGTAGAAATTATCTGCTGCTGCATATACAAAAGAACATCATAGTTTTCCAGAACAAAACAGACAAAGCAACCGAGACAAGCTATTTTGTAGGATCCGGATGTGTTTTTGTTGGTACACCTGAAACTGAGGCAGTACTCAGCCCCACTTCTGTTTCAAGCCTCCTACATCGCGGCCCGTCAAGCTACAGTTGGGAAATGGAGATTCGGCCGTCCGAAAAAGGTTCTCTTGCCCACGCAGCTTGCCCAACTTGAGAGAAGTGTCAGGGCATGATATTGGATGCACAAGCTTGGCCTGTACAAACACTACTTGTATGTGCAAAATGGTGGTGATACCTCTCACGGGGGAATCATTTGAACTGTTCTGCTTCGTTTTGAGAGTTTGTTTTTATTGGCTTAGGTTGGATTGGGAGAAAGAAGGTCAATCGCGCATTGGAAATCCCTTTGTGTACTACAACAAAGTCAAGGCTCCTTGGGATAGACACTTCAAGAGCCTTGAACAGATTGCAAGACACCCAAGAGTCTCTCCGGTCCATCTCCTGCACCACATCTCCTTGAACACTTTTGAGCAAATCCGCCCCTGATGTCTTGGTGTTTTCTATTTGATGTGCCACAAGTCTACACCACAGCGATTTGATTCACACGGAGCTCACGCAGCTGAATGGCCAGGGCAAATATTGGCTCTACTATTCCTGCTCCTCGATCCGCCTAGACGACTCTGCAATCGATGAACCCAAATACTTTGGCTTGGCTGAATCAGATCCTCAGCCTGGCGGGGCCTAGCGAGGCAGTTGAGCGATGGGTCGCTGTCAAGTGAGATACAGCATATTATTGTATACTGTATACCCCTCATACATTGATGTTGGTATCAATATGGTAGCAATCTAGTATGTTGCAACAGCTCATTTCACATCATTTCACAAGGCTGTTGAATTAGCAATGAATGATGTCCAAAAGAGAGCGAAGGCTACATTGACAGCTATTAATTGTGATCCCCTTTGACAGCATTTGTTTGAACGCCTGTCCCAAGGACAACCTGCTGGGACCGTACACTCGAGTCTTGCAGAAGCCTATGGACACTCGACTGTGGTTCTGGATCAGTGCGGTCATGTGTTGAGTTGTGTGTTTGCTTTCGATCCAGGGCGGTACCCACTTCGTCCCGAATACCTCCAAGGATCCATTTGCTTTTTCTTAGCATCTTAGCACTCATGTGGTTTTGGTAGAAATCTTGGTCATTTGCCTCTGACCTCCTGGATACTGATGTGCTGCCTGTAGGGTGAACACATGCTGGCAGCTTCATTTGTGCTTTCACATGCTTTCACAAAGTTTAAACACATGCCATCTGAAACTGATGGCACTTCTAATATGTGGAGCCAGGGTTTGAGTCAAACTTCCCACTTGATCTTCCAAATCTTTTTCACCTGGGGAAGATTGTAAGGGTAAACAAACTGCTGTGTAGAGGAAATCAGGGGCGAAATTCCTGGATTGACGGTGAAGGGCTATGGATCTCTGAAGATCATCAAGAAGCTTGGCCACAGACGGTGATCAGTTTGGATGGCGTTTCACATATTTTTCTGCGGTTTTGTACCAATGAATTTCGACAACATGCAATTCTGTGTTTTATTCTATTGTGCTTAGTTGTTTTCTACAATCAAGACCTATTCAGCGCAGGATGAGAAACCCAGCTGTCACTGTAGCCCAGCTGTGTCTTGTTGGAGTCTTGGATGAATGCATCGTGTTGCGATGCTAAAATGAAATCTGAGACTCTCATGGTGGTTGAGTCTTTCACACTGGCTTTCCAATTTTAGATTGATATCCCCAAAACATGTAATAGTAAAGATGCTACGGAATGGCACTGAATGGGCATAGTGCTGCACGCTCAAGCTGTGGTATCGAAACAAAGATGCTCAGCTGAAGCAAACGGTTGCAGCGAGTTGCACCACTTGGCCAGGAATCCACTGGCAGACATCACCGAGGACGGTGATTTGGTTACGGTTTTGGTGCAGATGTTCCGATAGTGTGAGCTGATGGCCTCCCATCGGAAGATATCGGACCATTTTAAGTGACCATATCCCACAGTGTGGGGTCATGAGAAGGGATAGTGATAGCCGAATTTCGACCAAAGCTTTTTTCCAGGATGCATTGGTGAGTGGGTAGATGTGGGTAGAGACTTAAGATCCTTAAGGTTGGTGCACCATTGGTGGATATGACAAGGATATGACCACCAAACATCTTCCGCCATTTCTTGCCGCAAGATGATCACAGACCAGCCTTAGGTGGTGGTGTTGCATTGTGCAACCGCCTGACGTTGGATGAATCCACTGGTGTTAGCGGAAGTACCATCTCTCTGATCAGAACCACTGACGGAGGCAGGGGTGCCATGTGAGGTTTGCTGCCATGGGGGTGGTGTTCAGAGGCGGATCTCATCCAGTGCTACGGCTTCAACCTGCTGGCACACTGCAACTGGCAGTCAAAACCCACTTTCGATACTTTGGAACGGGGAACTAGAAAGGTCTTCCTACACACCTTTGGTACAATGCATGCTGCAACCAGGTGAAGGCGGACATATCATGACCCCACATATGTGTCATGTTTGCCACGTGTGCACGGCGCTTGCAAGGCTTGTCCTGGGACACAGTGATCCCCAAGTTTATTGGACCAAGCTTTGTGGAAGACGATTGGAAGAGTGCTTACGTACCCCAGCTGCCGAGGGGAACCCAGCATGGGCAGAGCTCGTGATTCATATAGATTGGCGTTGCCATCTATTGCATTTAGCTCCAAAAGATTTATTGAACCAACTTCCACCTTGCTTTTTCCTATGGTGTCTGAATGAGTATCCACTGTCCTTAACATGTATACATGAATAATATTATATATCATTATAATGATTATAATAATATATATACCTTAGGCTTCCAAAACCTGGAAAAAACCAGGACTTGAAGTAAGAACCTGCAAATTTATCAAGATGGCGAAATAACCTGCATATCAACACAAAAAGTTGGATATCCTACTTTTCCTTCCTGAAGGATGATTTGCATTGCAATCCACTGCCTTAATCCCATCCGTTCCCGCTCAAGTCTCACACATGAGACTATTTTTTCTTTGGCGGCATGTCCCGCCCCTGATCCATGCCACGTTGGGACACTCAGTTCTCAGTGGATCCTGGCAAAGCGGGGCGATGTTGAAACCAATGCACTCATGTATGATCTCAGCGAGACAACCTTCATGTTTTATAGGTGTTTGGGCTCAGCTGATTTGGAAAGGGTTGAGCGAAAGCCATGGGGGATGCCTTCGATTTGACCGACTTATCAAAGGCTTGGGATGAGGTGGAATCAATTCGTGATGGCCTTCGAAAAGGCAACACGTTGCTAAAGGTGTCCAAAAATGGGTGTGACTCATCAATCCAGGAATGCAAACAGAACTTCGAAGTTCTGACACCGCTTCTGCACAGGTTCTTTGCTTGCAGGCTTAAGCTGCCCGAGATCCGACCCCTTAGAGTTGAGATTGAAGATACTTACACCAAGGCGAACCGGGATGTGGCAGAAAGCCAAGTAGATGACGATGCATGGGACCTTAGGACTATGTTGAGATTCATCAAACGCAAGGCAAACCGATCTGATGTTTCAAAAGATTCTCAGCATTTAGATCAGCAAAGGTTTGGTTTTTTAATGTTTGGGTCTACTTCCCGAAAGTTAGGGTGTACGGTACAATAGAAAGCAATTTACTTTATCGAAGTTGCGGCTTCCAAGGACCATGACTTCCAAGACATGGTTTTAATCCTCAGACCAGAACTTGAGGCTGGGCTGCAAAATTTGTAGTGGTACAATTCGATTTTTCAACATTTTGAAGAAGATCAGTAAGCAAACAAGTCACCTCAAAAAAACCAATGGCCTTGCAGGCAGAGGTGCTTGAGATTCGTCGCAAAGAAGAGAAGAAGCAATCAGTGGAATCACTTGAGGACCCAAATTCATTTTTTTCTGGTCTAGAAAGCTTTCCCACAACCATGATTCAGAATTTCTTTCTGGTCTGGACTTTCTTCCATATGAACGGAGATACGCTAAAACAAATTTCATTACAGTAAGTTACTTACAATTTTCATTACATGCGTGACAGCTTTGCAATTCATGCTGATATCAATGGTACCAATGTTGAAGAAGTTTCCTTTTATTCTCTGACAGTCGTGGGCCCAATCTCCAGGACACCGACGAAGATGTTTCCGATTCTGAGGCAGAACCGGCGCCCCTTGAAAATGTTGAGCCTGCCCCACTACCATCTTCGGGGTCGCAACCAGTTGTTCCAACAGGATCCAAGGGTGATCATTCCTGTGCCCCTCCAACAGCCACTGAACCCACTCCGGGTCCTGCACCAGCAGCCGATCCACCGGCGAAGCCATCTGTGGCGGGAGAACCTGCCACAGAACCGGGTGCTGAGGCGAAGGTGGACAAGGAAACACGTGCCTAGATAATAGATTAATATGGTTTCTATTGGTGATACTTGCTAGCTTTGGTTTGGGGATGTTTGGCAACACTGACTCCAAGACCCCCGGTTTATTTTAATTTATTAATATTAGATTTCAAAAACTCTACAACTTAGGTGCTGGTCAAAAAGCATTTGCTCGTAAAGTTCTTCTCGAGAAGCTGCACAAGATGAAGGAACAACTTGCAGAGACACTAGACGACATATTGCACATATTTTGTGATCTGATCGCTCTGTTCAAAATCCAATTTCACCAGGTTCAACGAGATGTACTTAGTCCGTAAACATGCAAGCATGCCCAACGAACCATGGTTCATTCATTACATACAGTGCCCCTTGGCTGCCCAAGGATCCATGCAAAGAAAGTTGCTCCGAAAGCAGGTCGTGGGGATCATGTGGCCAAGGATTTGGGTCCAGACTTTGACAAGGCAATGAAGATTCCAGGAAAGGGTTTGGGTCTTCATATAACATGTGTTTTCCCCGGAAAGATCATCGAAATAATATGGTAGAATACGTATGTTATAATATGTTTTAATTTTTGGCCCTTGACGTTATGGGTAAACAGAATAGCTCCACAACATACGACTGCCATGTGCAATAGGAGACACGTCATCACCATCATCTTTACCAACCATTGCTACCGACAATGTGGATACACAGCCCGTGGATGTGATGGAGCTTCCCGTTCCTGCTGCTACTCCATCAAAACCTGTTTCCTCCGATGATGTGACCCGTAAGAGGCGAAAGTACCAGAACCTTGAAACTGTTTCAAAGTTGGGGACTACGTTGATTTTGGGTGAGGGCAACAAGAACAGCCCTGAATCTAGTGAGTCAACACACACCCCATCATCTACCAGTGCCCAGAAGAGTATCACCACTACTTCTGGTGGAAGACCTGCTGATGAAGTTACCCCAGATGCCAATGATTCTGCAATTCCCAAACCCAGACGTCGTCGGGTGAACAAATCCAAAGAGCCACCACCAGTCCCAGAGGGTTGGTGGGACGACAATTGCGAAGATGACCCAGAGCCAGCAGAGTCCGAGCCTTGTGAAGTTGCCGATGCCGATGATGAAGCAGCTAGCAAGGTCCTGCATTCAGAAAGTAAACACACACCAGCTTTCTTTCAGAACGTAAACGCACCCTATGTTTTGCTCCTATATTGTTCGTGTTTATAAACGATAGGGATGCCGGGATGCCTAAGCAATCAATGGCCTTCTCATAGATCCTATCCCTGCACAGGTTGTGACACGCAGAGATCAACTCAGCTTGAAGAGGCCGCCCCAGAGTGCCCGTGGCAAAGGACGTGGCAAAGGACGTAGCAAAGGACGTGGCCGTGGGAAGGGTGTGAGTGGTTCCAAGCCGAAGGGCCCCAAGCGCAAAGTCACCAAATCCAAGGCTGTGAAGAGAAAACGTGATGTTGAGGATGAAGAGGTTTCAGACATTGACATGGTGGAAAACTATGATGATGGTAAGGATGAAGAGGGTAGTGAGATGAATGAGCATGCCCCCCCTCCACGTCGCCGTGCTGGAAAGGCCGAAGGAAAGACCAAGAACATCCAGAAGCATCAGAAGAAGGCCGCTCCGAAGGCCAAGGTGGACAAAGCTGCCAAACCCCGCAAAGGTGCTAGCAAACCCAAGAAATCCAAGAAGGCCCCATCTACGATGAAGGAGCCTGCAGTTCCCAAGAAGTCAAAGGCTTCAAAGGCATGTGGTTTGTATGTGATCAGAGATGATACTCCCATCCCTGAGCAAATGATGCAGTTCACCCAGATGATTGACACAACTCTTGACCTTGATTCTTTCAAGGAAGCTGTCCGTACTACCACTGGGAATTTGGGTCGGGGGAGCTTGAATGTCTATTGGTCCAAAAATACATGCGGGCTCAAGTGGCAGTTTGGCCGTGATAGCCGTGATATCACCACCTTTGCATTCCATCGTGCTTGCCCTGGTGAACCCCGTGTCAAACTGTTGATTGCAGTGGCTGCTGCGATTCACCTTGTAGCTTGACTGGGCTGCTGGATATATTTTCTAAATAGTTGTCTGTAGATTTTAAGACACCAAAAATTCTTAATGAAGTATCGAATTACAAACCCCTTTCGAATCCCTATTCATTCCTGACTTGAAGGCCCACATGATGACCGAGAAGCTGCCGAACTGAACAGAAGCGATGATCTCCGAAATGACTGAGGATCTAAAGGTACATGGCCGTCATGCGTTGATCCGACTCGCCAATGATGTTGATTGAGACACCTTTTTGAGTGTGCGAACTTGTGAATCCAGGATTCACTTGTGGTAGAAATTTCAAAGAAGAAATGGTATTACGGGAAATCATCAATCAAAGCTTGTGTGGAGCCCCGCGCTTGAAACCTCAAGTGGGTAAACAGCCAGTAAAAAGCCAGAAACAATATTTAGTAATCATTAATATTAACCATTTGAATACCATTTGAATATTCCCATGGTAATCTATCAAAACTCTGGTTTATTTTCTTGATGTTCATTAGTGGTGCTACGTGGCATTGCTGCTGGCTGTGTGGGGTACTTGGGGAAGCGCCTAGCCTGTGTCAACCTGCACAAGGCCATAAGCTTCAATGCCGGGCCGTGGTGAAAAAAAGATGCATCGACATGAAGACTGTTGTATCTCAAGCATTGGCCTTTTAAAATCCACCATACCATCAAAATATGATCCTCTCCAAACATTCCTGAGAGTATTCACCCTGATCCCAAAAGTCCCAATCAGCCATCTCTCCAGCCCCGAGGCGCTCCTCATGTGTCACGCGCTCGCCGTGTGCGGAGGCGGATTTCCAAAAGCCGCAGTCGTCCTGCCATGTTTTTGGATGCCATGGGAAGTGAGGATTTCGCATTTTTTGATACCACTTTGGATGATATGTTACAAACACCTTTTTAGTTGGAGTTTTGTGGCTCAATCAAAGAAGGTGCTAGTTCCTGAAAACCAATGGAGACCAATTTGGATTGCCTTCTGTGGGCCCTTAGCCGCCTGGGTGTTTGCAGAGAATCTCAACTGCAATCTGCAATCGGTACAGCAATTTTGCCATTCTGTTTACATGTGTGTCCTTTGGGGTGTGGCACCACGAAGATAAAAATAATCAGGAATTCCTGTTCATCGTGGTCTTGATTTATTTCACGAAGGGCCTGTACACACTGGAAGAGGCAGGCTATGCAACATAGATGCAGTGTCTTTTGAATACAAATGAATCTAAAAACTTCCCAACTAAGACTGTTCCCCTTGCCTGTGCTACAGGAGTTCGAGTGGTTGGAATACTATGCCGGAAGGGCGGCATGCACCACCGCTATGCGGAGGGCTGGACATGTTGCTGCGAAATTTGATTTGCTCTACTTTGACCGTGCCAAGACCAAAAAATGTGGTAAAAATTCCAATTACTATGATCTGCTGACCCCCGCTGGGTTTGCGTTACTCGGATAAAATTTGGATTTCCTCACTGCTTGAAGGTGCCTAGATACTAGCACATCCGTAAAAGTATTTGGTACTGCCTATGTTTTTGTTTTGCCCAGAGTGCCCCACAACTTTCCACCGCTCCTTCTGCCAGGCTTGGCGTGGTCTACGCCATGAAGGGCCGTGCAGGGAATTTCCTGTCCTGGTTTGGCATCAAGTGTTCGACTTGGGTGAGCATTAATTGTGGGACCTCCAAAAGATCGGCATGCAGCAGTATAGGCGATGTTTCAAAGACGGCTACGAAATTTGGCAACATGATGCTTGAAAGGATTGGGGTGGTTCAAAGTCACAAGCCCCAACAATATCCATGTTTATATATGTTATACAATAATGATAATGATTCATCTGGCTTCATATTGTATGCATGGGGGATGGTTCCAACTGTATATTTGTTCCCGTGATCAGAAATTGGAGGACAATTTGCCTATTGGCCGTGGTAACAGCTTGCCACGGAGTATGGTGCCTGGAGCAGCCTGGGAGTTCAGTGATGGAATTCTATCCAACATGGCTCCACTTTATGAATGCCATGTACGAATTCTATGGTGAGTTTGCAGCTACCTATCTAAATTTTAAGTTCAAAGTATGCTTAATTCGACCGGTCTTCTTTGCAAGTATAACTTTATCTGGTATAATATAAAAGAAATCAGTCATTAGCCAAGGTTCGCCGAGTTGGATGGTGGATGTGTATGTATGGTGCTGGGAGCCCGAAGCGCCAATACGCATGGAGCAACGGGACGGCCATCACTAAACTTGACGTTGGTTGGAAGCGAATGAAAGCCACATTCGAGACAGCCCGCAAATACAGGGATAGTAAGGGAGTACTACGATACCATGGGACGAAGTCACTTCGTTCCACTGAGAATCTTGATCTCCAATTACTACTTGCACAATTATGTTTTTTCTTGGTCGACCCCCCTTTAGTTTTTTTGAAGGTTGTGAAACCAGCTTGATATGCAAATGATGCAAAACTAAGGCATTATCCAATGAAGTTTGGAGAGGCAATTGTGAAGCACCGCGGTGACTTGATAAACTCCCGTGTCCACCACTCATACCCATCGCCCGTTCCACCAGGTCCTGAAACAGTTTTGTCCACAAAGATGGATGAAGGCCTGTTCGCAGAGGCCGACTTTGGACCGGTGATTGATTACTTACGGTGTGGGAAGGGGTTGGAACTCCCTGATTACTGGGCGGCTGTTCTCCCGCCACCTTCTTCCGTATTTAGTCGCTGAAAGTGACTTCAAATTGCCGAAACTCTGGTGGAATCCTGCAATCTTCCTAGAATGGTCGAATCTCGAACTAGGCAATATACCGTATTCCCGGACGACATTGGGATCGGGCAGTTTTTAACTTATTTTGATGGTTCAAAAGTTGGGATATCCCATATTCTTCCCGGCAAATCCCATATTCTTCCCATCTGAACCCATATTTTACCCGTTCAAACCCCGTAAAAATCCCGACAATTCCAAAAACCAGGTTTTTGGCAACCCGTAATCAACCCATAAACATCCCATAATTTCCCATAAACATCCCGTAAAACCCCGTAATCAAAAGTTGGGATATTTATATGTGAGATTTGCAGGGATTTGCAAGGCACCGAGTCGACTTTTGTCGATCATTGGTATGCTTTTGGTGACCATTACCATTAGTCGAAATTCATTTGGCCGTGGTGTGCCCCACGGAACTGCTGACTTAAAGTCTACAGACTCGCATGTGGGGAAAAAAAACATGGCTCGGTGCCAACGCTGTGATTTATACACACTTCAAGTTTCTTGTTGGGCCATTGGATGACGCAAAGTGAAAAATTCAGTTGGAAGACACTCTGCCCAAGCGCCCCTGTGCTGATCAGTGCGGAGACATGTCTAAGCGTTGGTCTTGTGGTACTCTTGAAGAGGGGTACCAGCATGTGATGGCGGATGCCATGGCTGATATTGAGGATGACATCATGAAGCAAATACAGGATTCCAACCCGTGATAACATATGCAATTTTATTGTATGCATGGATGATATGCTGTCTGAAGCCACCTGTACTGCCCACAAGCCACAGGAGCTTCAGTTGGAGATCAATGAGCTGGATTCCGATGATGAAACGACTCCGGAAATCCTTGCCCAACCCGTCTGAATCTTAAACTCCACAGTTCGATGAAGTATGAAATAGCAACCAGTTTTGTAAAGAAAATATGTTGGATTTCTATCAACCCCCTTCAGCCCTTGTGGCATCGCCCGCTGGCCCCAGGCCTCTACTCCAGCGTCTGCACCTGATGGAACTTCCACGGAGGAACCCGACACACCAACTGGACCAGAGTTATCCAGTGGTTCTGAAGGTTTAGACCGAGTTCATGCCTCAAGATGGTGATGCTAAAGTGAACTTTTTTCACAAACGGAGTGGTATCTGAACATTATTCTCCCCTTTAATTGAATTTCCAGTATGCCACATCGGTCCCAGGTGGACACAGAGCTTCTTGAAGATCAACCCTGCAAGACCGATGGCTACATGCCGTGTACGGAAGGTGCAGATGTGGCTGCCTGAGAAACATTGCAATCTAACACCGGCGGACACATAACTTCCGTTTTGAATTTTGAATCGAAATAAGATGAACCAAGGGGTTGTACTTTGATGACTCATACTAAGGTGCTGGTGGATGATCTTTCTGTTCAACTTGCGCTGGCACTGGGGCCCGAGATCAAAACTGAGCAAATGGAACCTGACAGCCCTGCCAACAAAAAGTCTGATGATGGTAATGATGAGATGGCGCCCCCTGTTGAGAATGATGGTGACAAAGCATCAAATGGAAAGAAGAAGCGAGTTCTTACCCGACGAGATTCTTAAGTTGCAAAAAGCTAGAAAGTTTAAACGTGCTGAAACAGTTAGCTAGACATGTTACAACAGGCCACCTACCAGCAGACCCCAAACTCTATCAGCCGCAGCAACCGGCAGCTCAGGAACTTCTCATGAACGCTGCCAAGGCACGGATCCGAAGGATGGTGGCTCCAAAGTCCAAAAGAACTGACCTGTCGGTACCAGCATGGGTTGGCACGGAGTGGAACAAAGGAACCAAGGAAAAGGAGCAAATGGCCATTACCCTCCAAGAGGTGAACTTCGACAAGGCGGGGCCAAAATCAAAACCCAATTTCAATAACAAACTCGGCTGAATATGTTCAATTATAATCTACAGGATCTATTTTTAGTATATACTCTGTGAGCAGTGTCGCACACTAACACAAGATGAAGTTGCAGTGGTGTCTTATACTGTTATAGATCATTAAAACCCCTTCTTGCTCCCAGTTGAAGTTTGTGGATGAGATGCAGCGCATCATCACATCCCGGAAGAAGGTAAGCGTCAAGAAAGACCAGGGATGGTATAGTGAATCTGAGATGAAAACTGACCTCAAATGGCCTGCGTCCCTGGGCTCACATAAAACACATGGATGGGACACACAAATGTTGACACTGGTTTGGTACTTACAACATTATTCAACCTTGTTGCCTAGGACCCGCATCACTGCAGCAAAGACCTACTGCGGCGATTCTACTCGTGCTGAAACACATGTGAGGACACAGAGTTTGGGTGCTCAGGAACCCATTGTTAGGTTTCAACAAATTACCCCCGGGAATTGTAATTTTTTAGAGCTTGCAACAGATCATCATATATGTTATTGACAAATGCAAATGCATGCAAACAAATTATATCTATATAGATATGCTCGACCGCAGGAAGAACATGTATCAAAAACAAATTGTATGAACCTCGGGATGAACCCCAAATCAAGGGTTACTAATTATATATTATCTTTTCTTTGACATTAATTATGCATTAAAAATGGGAATGCTCCAAATCAACCATTGTTAAATATGTGTTAATTATCTGCTAAATATGAAGACCGGTGGATTGGGGGACCAAACCATTTCCAAACCTCACAGTGAGCGCGTGCGTGAAGCAGCAATGGCTCAATTGGAGCACCTTTTTTTTCCGGAGACGGGATCTTTTCCCTTCTCCAAAGTGTACAAATTCGGTGGCCGGGTGTTTTGGCCATGCCATTGGTGGGAGAAGCTGCATAAGGATTCCAAGAGGTCAGGTGTTTTTGAAAAGGGTGATCTGGTCTGCTACTACAGGGCTATGTTTATAGAATGTTGGGGAATAGGTTTACTCAGCAACCATCCTTTACACCCCTTTAGGCAATATCTTTCTGGCTTTGTGGACAAACGGGACGGCCTTCTGAAGAAGGAGTATGCCAAGGTGTTTCAAGTTGCCCCAAAGCAGATGGCAGCTACTTGGTAGTGAAGTAAAGCATGATCATGATGATGTTTGGTGATCTTCAAATCTCATCGGCTTCCTCACTGTTTTTGTTGGGGAGTAAATGGAAATAACATAAACAACCCAGGTTTGTTCCTCCTATCGCAAAAGACTCTTGAGATCAGATGAAACGGTGTTGCCCAACGACGTGCTGAACTTGATCCCTGAGATTGTGGCTGAGACATCGTCCATAGCAGTTCAGTTCTGCTATCTTGCCAGTGCCAAAAAGATTGATGAAGCAACCGGGTTCAAGTCACTTGGGTTTACTTTACTGGGTGCATTTCCATCTACTTTGAAGTTGCTCATGTAATAATATTCGTGGGGCCTTTTCCACACCCATCCCGCCATTCTCAATTTATTGAAAGGTCTGCAGTGATGATGCGCGACTGGCTTCAATCGCTTGCTTGTGAAGGTTCGCATCTTGAACTCCAAGGAGTTTCCCGGCTGATTGCAACAGCAACAGTGACACAGGAAATCGTGACAAGCACACTTCACACATCATTGGCATGTTTGTACGTTGGTCACGCATAACCTACCTAAGGTGGCAGTACCAGTTGTAGACAACTACATTGATCTTCGATCGCGGTGGGGACAGCTCATGGGGATGCCTTGGTTCTATGCATATTGGGACTGGCTTCAAACGTCTGATCCCAGCTGTGAACTGGTGAAAAACAGAGACCCTTGTCTATCAAAATGTTGGTGCAAATCAAAGAATGCTGTGATGTGTGCAGCATGTTGCCGTCTCTTGACACTGCGCCCGGCCGAACTTAGGAAAGACCACTGATTGGGGAACTGTGTGCATCATTTTTGTTCAATGGAACTGATGGCTGTTTGGCAACTGGCCATGCGATACTCAGAAAGTGTGTCACTTGGGTCAACCAGCAAATAGAGCAGATTACCGTGCACGAAATGTCAGCGAAAGACCTTGTTCAGAACATGCAGAGCAAAACTGCCGGCAAATATGACAGAGACCTAGTCCAATCTTTGTGCGAAACATTGGGCACTACACTTGATGGCGAACAGGCTCATTACTGGCATGTGTGGACGGTATCTTAAATCTATTTCATGTGGTTTGGGGAAACCATGATATTATATTACATAGGTCATCCATTACAAACGTAAGCCTTAAGCTTTGTAAGGCTATGGAAAAATCAGAATAATAATGTCAAATCAAAATAGATCCAACCGCAGTTCTGGGTCTTCCCATGTTACCCTTGCCAATATCGAACCCTCTCACTCTGCAGGAACCCGTTGCTGGAGCAGCCAGAACATTCGAGTCTGTCGAGCAGATTGTTGCGCACCTTGGGTATGGGTCCAGGTTGGCTTACACAATCCATCAGGAATCTTGGCTTTGCTGAGGCATCCGGGTGTTTGAAATTGAAATGAATTGAGAGGCCAACTTCATGTGGGTATGCAAATACACAACACAACATCAATCAATCAATTAACCCTCCTAGGATTGGATCTCGGCATATCGCGCACGTGGACGACTTGAATTTCAAGACTTGAACTATTACCAGGCGAAACGCATGTTCCATATCAGCATGCATGTGAGTTTGAGAAGATGTCAATTGAGAAGATGTCAGTTATTGTAAAAGCTTCCCAACAATTTGAATGATCAATTGTGTGACCAAATCCGGTCTTGCTTACTCTGTCAGTACGTGATGGACGGTGGCAAAGTGGGCGACTTCAAAGCGACAATGTATCTCGACAATGTTAGGCACGATTATCTCAAATACATGTTTGGACATAACCAATGACCAAACCCTTATTGTTGGAAATTTGTGGGGCAACAATGACACCGTGAAGCTACAAAAACATTTGGTTTTGCTGAGGTTCACGCTTTGGGCACCTGAATTACAACGTGGTGCGATTCTTCCTCCGCAGGCAATGGGTCCTGGGTTGCCGCTGCAGCGTGGGGTATCAAGCCATCTATATTTCGAGACATAAACCTATTTATTAGGGGTATTCATTCTCACCAAATAATCAAAGATAGAAGTTTTGCCAACTTCACTCATCTGAACCCACTTACCTATGTTTGGGTTCAAGATTTGACTTTGGAACGTGCTGACCACTCCCAAGTGTTTGCCACCCGCTCGCTTAGCATTTGACTTAGCAGTAGCAATGGCTCCCAAGACTGTGTTGAAAAAGCCGGCCCAGAACAAAGGCAGCCGCAAGGTTTCAGGCCCCACAGCCAAGAAGCCTGCTGCTGCTGCTGCTGCAGCCAGTGCTCGTGTTTCTCCTTCCGGGTTGGAGCGACAGATGTTGCATGAAGTCGCCATCGTTGTGGCCAACCCTCATGACTCTTGTGATGTTACTGCCAGGGGCTTACCATGGCTTACCAACAAGTCTATATATCCAATTCGGAATCTAATGATTACGTCGTTTGTTGTGCACTTGGGTTTAAGAAATGGAAAGAAAGATATTATTCCCAAGCTACAGGGTTAACTTCCTTACTTAGGTACGCATGTGCGAAAGTGGTGGGCTTGCCGATTTGGAGGTGGCACATGAGACTGACAAGGCTACGCTGATCCCAGGTTCTGTTTTCTCCATTTCATACAAGAATTTCACAGACGCGCAAGAGAGGGTCGCGGAAGAAGGTGCGTCTCAAGGCATCTTGTTCAGCAAGACTTTTTTGGCTCATGCTGAGCCTTTGTTGGACACTCTTCAAGAGTACATGGAATATGATTGCGCGTGAGGGCTGATGTAGTTGTTGGCTAGACCAATGACTTGTACGTAGGATGACTACGCGGCACTTTTGACCCATGAAGATGGGGTGTTGCAGCACAGCTCGGGTCGCAATCACCAAAACAATGATTGAGCATGGGACTTTTTATTGAAGAGAAACCCAGGCTAGATTTGAGTACCATCTCAACAATATAGCGTTTGGTTTCTGATTGAGACCCAATGCATCGCCCGTCAAACTCACTCCCTAGCACTACGATAGCCGAAGTCTCCTGACTAACAGACCTGAAAACAGCTTGCCGATCACCCTGGCCAAAAAAGGTTGTCAACATTGCAGTATGCCAGGATTGTAGTTTGGCAAATGATTGCGCAAACATCTTTGACTCTTGGCTACAACACTTGGATTCATGCCAATTTGGGGATATGAGCCTTCGATTTGGCAGTAGTTCAAACTTGCCTTGGAATGCATTTATGGCTTGACGTAGCTGTGTAATTTTGCTCCAGCAATTACAGCTTGAATCCTGACTCATACCTGTGTTGGGGGGTGACCATGAGCTCTTTGCCACCACCTCCGCCTGGTGCTTTGGTTTCGTATGGGAGTGGTCCGCCACCCCCTGCGCCCATGCCAGCCCCATCTCAAGCCCACAGAAGGGCTGCACCAGCAGGAGAATTTATGTTGAACAAGTGTCATGATTTCAGTTCTTGAGTAATTTTTTTAAGTGGTACCACCCCATACAATTGTGGAATTGGGGTTATGCCGTCACCACAGCCACCCGACCGCATCCTTGAGGAGGCCACAAGAGGGCTGCGCGCACTCCCACCTCTGCAACTACTCAGGCAAGTACCATGAAGCAGCACTATCTTCAGGACAAGCAAACCATTCTGCAGAAGATTGGCGGCCACCAGTTCAACCAGTGTGTCTTGAATGAGATGACTGAAGCTGACGTCAACGCTGCTTGGCATATCATTAACAATGAGGAAAGATAATAATGTCAACCTAACCAGTCACATGAGAACCGCCACACTGCAAAGGTTTTTTCTCATAGTTCAACAATTCACAGACATGACTCCTTCGCCGACAGCACTGAATTAGGACTGCATTGGCAAGCTGACTGGCCAGTGGGAATACGATCGTGTTGCCAGTAAGAAGCGTGCCTTGCACCAAAGTTGGCATTGTGCATCACAAAGGGTGCTCCGCCTTAGCCATGTCCTGTTGTGTGCCAAGGTGACAAGCTTCAAGAAGCTTTGATTCAGGAAGGGATGCGCCGCTTGGAAACAGGTGAAACTCCACCTAGCCACTTGCATAAAGTTAACCCATGATATCCCGTGATATCCCATGATATAAAGGACCTTCCAAACACGTCGACTTTAATTGAAGTACTACCTCAAGACTCAACCTTCTTCCATTCAAAGTGTTGAACTGATCTTTAGTCTATGCTCAATGAACTCAAGCTGCCTCGCGCCGCTAAGTCAATTCGAAGTCGATGATTACGGTGGTTCGTGCTGAGCGGGCCGCTATGGAGGAGATTCTGGCTTCAATCACGGTGTACAATGTGGGGAACCAGACGGCAATTATGACTACAGGATATGCTGCTCAGTGGTTGCCACCGGGAACAACCCCGTGGAAGCTTACGGTGCTCTTTGACCGTGAGTCCCATTGGTTTTGACTTTGCCCCACTTTCTGCTTTACCGTATTACCCAAGGTCCATTGTTTGGAGGTAGGTAGATCCCACAAAGGTGTTGTTACCATAACATGTCATCAACAAACATGGTCATCAATCTTTCTCAGGAAGTTCAAGCCTTACGTGCAGAATGGTGTGGAATCCAAATGGGCTGAAGACTTTACGACGATCATCACCCCGCAGACTACTATCCCAGAATATGTTCCACTGCAGCGCAAGAATTGGCAGGCCACTCAGGTGGAGATCCCCAAAGCCAAAGGTCCTTCTCCAGCCGCAGCGGCACCGGCATCGGCAGCCCTTGTCGCAGTGCCTGGGGCAGCCCCTCCTCCTCCACCCCCAGGGCTGCATCGTGGGAAGAGCACAAACAGTTTGCACTCTGATGACATGAACACATCAGAAACTTGTTGTAGAAAAATGGGTATCCAAAACAGAACTTTTGATCTCGATATACAATAACTTACTAATAGTATGACCCACAAATATTAGGGCCCGTACTTTCCAAAAGGATCTGATATTTAGCATCGTCATCATCAGAACAAACATGGACATACGGGTATATTTGCTTCGTTCAAATGATCTGGGATGGCCATTCATTCATACTAAGGATTGCCCACCATCCCCAGGCAGCATATGCAGTATGTACAGTAGAGCCAGCACATTGCCTGCAGAAGATGAACCGTTGGACAATACAGTGGTGTTGGACCAAGAAGCGGGGCAACAGTATGTGTGGAATCAAAGGACTGTTTATACACGTTTATTGTTTGTTTTGATTGAAACCTCATCTATTATGGGTGTATGCTCACAAACGTCACAACTAGTTGTTGATACTGTGCAGTAAGCCGCAATGGGATCACATCTTCTGTCAATTCAGCCGGATCGCAGGAACAACGATGTGAAGTACCTCGAGATCATTTCGCCCGCCAATGACTGGGTTGCCAAACGCTCAGCGAGGACAGGCGAGGAGTTCTTGCATTCGCCAGCATTGAAGATGAGCCTGTGGGTCGCTGGGCTGAAAGGTGCATATTATAAGGGATATCATATATCATATCACTCAGTGACAAATTCTTTGGTGGGTTATGGTAAGAGTATCAGCTTAAACTAAAACTCGGGATATTGACATCGCCTACGAACAAAAGTATCAATACAAATGTGGACAAACCACAAGTATTGCTAGCAAAAAACCCAGCCAATCTTGATTTGAGGCTGCCCAATTCTGGGCTGGCAAAGAGGCACCCAAGCCCCGCAAGTTGCGCAAGACAGATTCTACATGCACTACGGAAGCCATGGATGGCACGGCTCCCTTGTCAGTCCTGCCCGGAGTGCCTTTGGATTTTAATCTCGGGGGGTGCTTGTTGGTGCTTTGGCAGCTGTGCTCCATTGCTGTTGCTGCTCTTGTTTTCGTGATGATGGTGATGGTGATGATGATGATGGTGGTGGTGGTGATGATGATGTTGTTGCTGCTGGTGATTGATGTTGTTGATGTTGTTCGATGGGTTCTTGCGGGTGACAGGGATTTGGATGGTGATGGTGATGATGATGATGATGATGATGATGATGATGATCGTGGTGGTGATGGTGGCGGTGGCGGTGGCGGTGGCGGTGGCGGTGGTGGTGATGGTGGTGGTGGTGGTGGTGATCGTGGTGGTGGTGGTGGTGGTGATGATGATGGTGATGACGATGATAATGGTGATGCTGATGAGGGTGATGATGATGGTGATGGTGATGACGGTGATGATGGTGATGATGTGGCTGATGGTGGCTGGGTTAAAGGTTTGATGGCCGCTGGCCATTTGATGATGCAATGTTAACACTGCTGAACTAGTGCCGGTGTTGTTGCTTGTTTAATTTAGTTGTGTTGGTATTGTTGTTGCTGTTGCTGCTGCTGCTGTTGTTGTTGTTGTTGCTGTTGATGGTCTTGTTGGTGGGGGTTGGCGGGCTTTGGGCTGCTTAGGGCTGCCAGGAACCTGGTGTTTGGGGCCCGATACTGGGCCAAAATGCAATCATTTGTGGAGCTTTGAGCTTATGAACCCTTCAAAATTGTGGTGTTATTACCTTATGAACCCCAAAAAATTGTCAATATATATTTCTATGAACCCATAACGTGTGAGTTTTTATACATATGAACCCTAAAACTATGTGGATATAATATTGTATGAACCCCAATTTATTGACTTCACAGGCCTATGAACCCGAGATTGTCGATCTACGGACCTATGAACCCCTATATTTTTAGATTTTTAAGCTAAAATACAAAAAAAAACAATTCATCCCCTGTCGGGTTTGAGGTTCATCACCAACCCCAGAGATCACATGGCCCAGGTTCACACCATGTCACCCCTTTAAGAGAAAGGTCTTTTGTCAGTGGCAAAGCTGTTTTGAGGCATCTTCATTATTTTTTTAGCGGAGGTTGAGATCTTAGCCATGGGGTCACCATAGTCAAGGCTTTACAAGGATAAGGGTAATGACCCATTCAAACATGGAAGGTACCATTCCAATTCAGCCCTGTGTCAAATGATGCTTGACACAGCAAGGTGCCAACTGAAGAGTTGCCTGTCCGTATCGCCCGTGATTTTGGCGACCCTCGTCTATCTGACTGATGACGTCTTTTTCAAACATGTATTGGCACCATCCTGAATAGAAGATAGTGTTTTGAATCTGTAAACTTTCAAGACTCAATACTCAACCAGTGGTTGGTCCCAGTTATGGACGCAAATTCAAACATGTCAAGTGGTTGAATTCAGCTCCGACCCAGATTCGGCAATATAGCCAAGGATGGGGGGGAGACCGGATTTGAAGTTGCTGCTCTACCCAAAGCTTCGCCGGCTGCTACCCCGACAGAAGCTGCTACCCCGGCATCGGCTACCATCGCTATGGTTCCTGCTGAGGTTCCTGCTGGGATCCCGGCTGTTCCTCCTAGCCCGACCGTGCCCGTGGCTGTGGTTGCGCCCATTGTTGCCACACCGAAGCCGATCACTGCTGCCAAAGCAGCTTCCATTGTCCGCCCACCAGCCCCGCCTCAACAGGTGGTCGAAGTGGATGAAGATGGTGATCACAGCCTGTGACGGATTCTGTGAGGGCTGTTGCCATATGCCCCAGCCGCGTGGAGCCCCCCCAAGACAAATTCAAACTTTAATTCCATAACGTTTGTAACACCTACTACTATTGGATTCAAGATGGGGACCCAAATGGTATAACAAAGATTATGTTTCTATGATACCAATGAATCACATGAATCATATTGGAGTCACTATCAATGAACGAATGGACCATTGATTTCAGTGGTACACTAATCGGGGGGCTCAGGAGATATGCCTGCAGATTTGGAAACAATTTGAAAGGGGCTGATCGTGATGCCAGTCATGAGTTGAAACAATCAACTTGTCAAAATTCTATGTGTTCAAAAGCCGGATTGAAAAAGTTCATGACAATGGTGATAGCTCTATAAGACATCCACTAGTAGTAGTTTCATGTTCGGCTTCACGTGCTCTGTACCGTATGTGCTTTGCAGCATTCATCTCTAAGCGATTCCTGGGTATTTCTGAAGCACATGGGTTCCACCATGTTACTTTGTACAATGTACTGTACACAAACCAGATTCGAAGGTCAGAACTGCACAGCTGGCCGGAAAATGCCTTGCCTCTGTCTCGGATGTCGGCACCACCATTGCCAGCCCACTGAACACCGATGATGGATGGATGTTACTCTTGTACACATGTGGTTTATGGTTTCAATATTATTGTGGCCTGAGGGCCAAGGGGTTTCAATATGATTTCTTCCAGCCGAATGATTGAAAGTCATTTCATAGATTCAGAAATGACAGAGGATTCCATCTAGATTTCAAATAGTTTGGGGAACTGCTGTGACAGGTCACGCCTGACTTGGCTGAGCAAATACTGGTGATGAAGGATGACTCGCAGGATGACACCAAACTGTTGCTGAAGGTCCAGGACAGGGACAAATATGGGTTGCCTGGGTTACTATCTCTATTTGCTAGATCCAACACGTAAGTACGTAAGTACGTAAGTACGTAAGTACGTAAGTGAATGGTAATGTCATGAAAACAAAGCCCGATGCCATAACCATTCCTTTTTCCTGACTTCAGTCAGGTTGTGTTCTCCCCCTCATGTATCAAATTCAGGAGTTGGAGAACAAAGAGAAGATTCCAATTGGGTCCATGAAGAAACTGGCTGCCGACTTTCGAGCAAAGATCCGTGCAGACACCAACGCTGCAAGGGGGCTCTCGAATGCATCCCGTGGGTTTGATCTCGATGTTGACATGTTTACTTCCGACGTGGGCCCCCCTGCAGAAAGAACCAGGGAGGATCTACTCAAACGCAAACTGTGCATCCTTTTGGGGGACGAAGAATCACACCAGCTACTCGTCAGCTTTCATTCAGATTGCTTTCTAAGAACAAATCACCTATCGGTATAATAGCTGTTGGCGAATCAACCTTTTATATAATTATTGAGCACTGGAATCGTAGTCACTGAGGGGATCTGCAATCCATTTTTCTTTCTCACCAAACCCTGACACAACATGCTCAGGTCGAAAATCTTTCGCCTTTTGGCCTACTATGAGCCTCTGAACATGAGGGTTATCTTTTCTCGGGATGCCCTTCACCGTGTCCACAATGATGGTCAGTTGGGGGTAAAGCAACATGGCCTTTGGGGTTGCTTGGCTACTATCTGAGAATTAACATATCTTAGATCATGTCCGAGCTTTGCTATCCAACTGACCCCTTCCAGTTCCACAAACTTATTCGTGACGCTGCAAACTTCTAATCTAACATTCAATGAACAAGTATATAGTCGTTCGCCCCTCAGGTGTTGTTGGTATCTTACGGTTGGTGATGAGCATCGCCAAGAAGCCCTGGAAGACCCGAGACTTTGGCAATTCAAGGGCGGCATTTGCCCAACACTTCTTGGATACTTTTGGCCCTGAAAGTCCGGAATTTAAAGCGCTTGTACCTGATATTGCCTCAGACCTTTGCCTACCAGAAGACACGCCTGCTGAAGAGTTACACGAACGTCTCTCTACTTTCAAAACTCTGTTCACAGAACATGATGTACCTAGACTTGACTTAAGATAAAGGTTCACCGACGTGACCAGCAATCACATGTATCAGATTCAATAATATATATATATATACATATATATATATACATATATATATATATTTATTATGTACACATTCATGAAATATCACAAAAGTCAGGTCAGACTTCAACAAACTACACCGAAGAAAATTCCTATCCCAGGTGTCTTTGCGCCGCTGGTTTCAGTGGGTCTTCAGATGGAAACCATTTGCTCAATGCTGGCACTTCATGTAACTTGGCAATACTTCGAAGGATAGCAGTAGCAGAATAAAACAAAATACACGAAACATTTTAAGAGTACTTTAATCAGATATGTGCCTTGCGCGTGATTTCTGAGATTCACTTTGTTTCAACCACATAAGGCAAAAATCCCTGGAGCTTCGAGACGTGTGGCTTGGTAAAGCGCAAAGCGAGGACCACGGTGACCCCAACACTGAGCAGATAGATGCTTTGGTCCCAGCAAACCCAGTCGCATCAGAGCAAGCAGGTCCATCAGAGCAAGCAGGTCCATCAGAGCAAGCAGTCCCATCAGGTTCTGCAGGTGAAAGCAGGCAAAAAAAAGAGATGAGAGAATTGCAGGCCTACCTGAAACGACTCAACGCAAAAACAAACATGCTCGACTTAGCTTCAGAAGTGTTTGCTGACAAGAAGTTGCTGACATATGGCTGGATGACCCTTGAATTTGCTTTACAGGAACTGGTTTGACTTAGTTCATTGAATGCATTGGGCTAAGTTGCATTTTTCCCTTCCAGGTACATATGATAGGAGTTAGAATTGGCTCTCACTCTCTGTCTCCCCTTGTTTTTTCCAGCTTCTCTCGTTTTTCGTTTACTCAGGATTTACCACACCATGCTTCCGATGGCCGAAACTTATTTGACCTACCTGGATGCCGTGAAGAGTTTAGATTCAAATCGTCAACTGCTGGCAGGATGGTCGAATCGATCATGGGCTCTTGACGTATGCAAAGTACTTGGAACCCTGGTCGACTATGAGTGTTTGAATCGACTGCGTTTGGTTGGGAACAAAGTGGACTTGGAACAGGACCAGCAAGATGCCAGTTTGTGGTTCTCACTCGCTGTGTCCACGGCGAGCCACAGATGTTGGAGCATGGCCATGCACAGTGAGCTTCCTCCTGATCAGTGGTTTGGGATTTTGGATCACAATGACCACGCAGCAGGGATGGCTTGCACCAAGCTCAACAGTAGCTTCCGGATCATCAAGAAAGCCCAGGATTCTCTGAAAGGCACTGCAGATCAAGCACTGTCCGCCAAAGCCAAAGAGGCTGGGAAAGTGAAACCACAGCAGTGATTTTTTCCGTCGTTCATGACATCTTGGAATGGATGTGTTTTATGCCAGAAATATAGCAAGGCTAAGCTTGTGCAATATATAATTTTTAAAACAGTGTTCCAATACAACACTAGTACGAAAGTCATCACGCAGGGCTACAAATAGATTATATTCAAACACGTGACAAAGCACCATGACTCACTCAGACTCAGACTCACTGAATCCTGAGGCACTGAAGAACTGCATGAGTGACATTTGGTTTCCAAAGCTACGAGTGGTCAAGGAGCGAGATTTACAAAGTGGGTTATTTTCCAATTCAATTTTGTTCCTTTCATTTGCCAGACTATGCTGCGCAAGCAATGGAACGCTATATAATTCAATGGCAAGTTCCCAGTTTATTATGTGAAGTGATGTTGCAAGTTGACTGTCACAACAAGTATCCTCACCCGTGACAGGAGTTTTGGGATCACGCGAGTTACTTTCTCTTTCGAAAAGATGCAATCTGGGACCATATTTGGTACTTGAGCAATCGCCTTCTGACCACCAAGCAATCGATGGAAGATTTGATTGGTACCGCCGCTGACCACGCAGCACGGGACCAGAAGAAGGAACACAACTCAATCGAGCGTGTTTACTTTCACTTGTGCAATTCGAAGCGGCTGGCCAATGCTGAGTCCGAGTACAAGTTCCTGAACTTGGAGCGAGGGGACCTAGCCAACCCTGACATGACGATGTCCGGGAATCGAAGAGACACATTTGTCTGCACGAGTGAGGGTTCGAAGTTGGGCGATGCTGTCAGGGAAGCATTGCTTCTCGGCACCCGTGGAATGCAAGCTGCCACTGATGACTTTGTTGCACAGCCCCATCAACCAGTGACAAAGGCACTGTGGAAACCTCAGGGACAGCATGCTGACAATCGGGAACTGGCTTCATTCATGGCGGTCAAGTTTTGCCATGGTGACTTGGAGATGTTGCCTGGATGTTGGGCATCATTCATGCTGCAGGAGGGGTGCCTTTTCAAGCGAAACACTGCCGACCAAAATGTGTACTTATCCCTTGGCTTCAAACATCGCGCTGCTTGGGGAGTCCGGGTTGAGCAGGAGTCTGTGGACGGATTCTTTCGACTGACGCTCAGCGCCAACGACATGACAGTGGAAAACACCAGGGTGCGATTGAAGGAGATGGTGGAATGTCATGTTGGGGTTTCACCGGCAGACAAGAACATCAAGTTGGAATCAGACTGGGTGGCCATTCCCACTAGAGTTTGCACCTTCAACCGCATTTAAAGATCATATGTAAGGTACCTTATTTTCAATTTTAATCTGGACAGAACATTGTACTCAATGATAATTTTTCACTTTACTGGACTGGAACAAAACACGGAACCAAGCAGAACCAGTGATAGCAGAAAGAGCCAGTGTTTTTCAATTTTGATCTTGAACAACTTTGGTGTTTTTAGATGCATGTGCCAGGCACACCTCGGGAATCAGGGCAAGAAGCTGTCATGCTGAAACGAACTGGTCCTAACATGGACATTGTGGAGCACTTCTTGCGACATGGCACCATGCAGGAGGTGACGGAGTCTCAGCTCACTCAGCTTGTCACATCCTATGGGATCACCAAAGTGCCCCGGTACCAAGAGAACCGTGCAGCCATCAAGTCCAAGTTGACTCTTGAAAACAAGTTTGGGGAAAGCACTATTTTTTTACTTTCATGTTTTGGCACGCATGGTGCTCCACCTTACTAGGGAAGGACCACCGACACTAAATCAAGTTTAAATCTTTAAGGTGACCCAATCTAAGCTCAATTAGGATGTGCCTTATCACCTACACTCTCCCGGCTTTGGTGGATGACGAGAAAGTCGTGATCCTTCAGCGGCTCTTGTCTACGCAGAAGCAGAAAGCCGACATCAAGGACTCCACGGCCCTGAAAGCTTTACGTTTGCTGGACAACGAAGATGACGGCAAAATGTTCTCTACCCTCAGGGACAGGTTGGAAGATGCCGAAAGAGAGAGAGCAGTGATGGAACGATTCGGCAGTACCAAAGAGAAAAAACAGTTTGCAACACCTGAGGTCTTGAAGAACCTGAGACCTGATGTATCCTCCAGTTCAAACACATCAGGGTTTGGAGCCGTGCTGGTGTGGCAATGTTCAATGCAATGCTTCCAGGGGTACTACCCAATGGAGATTGTGGAGGAAGACGGGACGAACACCCGCAGAAAAAAATTCACCAGTACAAGCCGGAAGTACCAAAGTGAAGAGCTGGAAGACATGAGCAAAGCTCTGTGGGCAGTGGTGCAATTTCTGTGGCGGGAACACGTGAAACAAGATGGAAGTGACGCCGAGAAACCCAGTAGAGAGGACGTCTGGGCAGCGATGGCGGAGGCTGAGCTGGAGTACAAATCTGGCAAGTGCAAAATGTACAATTTCGATGAGGTTGACATTCCCAGTCTGGCCAACATGAAGTCTGAGGCGATGCCGGCGATGCCATCAAGTTCCCAGCCAGCAGGGTCTACCAAACGTGTCAAGACAGTGGCAGCAAAAGAAGCAGGGGCAAACAAAAAGACTGGCGCGCTGATGATCGCCAGGGATCCCAATAGGGAGAGGAAAAGAAAAAAAAAGAGAGATGAGTCAGGTGATAGCAGTGGGTCCTACAAAGAATCGCCCATTGACTTCGACAAAATCAAGGCGAAGATGAAGAAGAAGTCGCGAAAGTGACAAAACCACACAAAATTGAGGAAAAAAGTGCTTTTCGCCCGCTGACCAGGTGAGAGTTTCAGCATATTTTTGAACATCTGAAGAACTCATTATTTTTCAGCAAAATGGCAATCGCTAAATATGACATATGTATGGCATAGATAACGCATATATATATCATAACTAGTATCCTGTCTCTGGGGGTCATCTGGCGTGACATACCCTTGGCCTTTGAATGTATGACGGCATCACTGAGTACTGGGTGACGGTGCGTGAACGTGGGAGCTACGAGGAGGAGCACGAAATGTCCGAGATGCACAAGTCAACAAGCAAGGCTTGCTTCAAACGATAATTGTCGCTTTTCACTGGTTGAAGCTCAGTGTAATGGTAACTCCTTCTTTGGTAAGAATGGTAAGCAATGGTAATCATTTCAAGCTACAACTTGTTCTTGAGGCTGCTGGTCCGGTGAACTTGGAAGAGGGATGCTTTGATAAAATCAAAGCAGCCATGCCCTGTCAGCAGCCCGCCATTGCTGCTGACTCGAATGGTCAGAAGAAACCAGCAGAGTCCGAGGCAGCCACCGCCGATCAGGACTGCGGGGTTGGATTCAATATTTTATACAATTTCATTCGCCCTTTGACCATAACCCGGTCCCCCTCCAAGCTGGCCTCCAGAACCGGCAACATGTGAAGCGCTTCATGGATTCACTCCTGCGGCTTTCGACCAAATTGAAAAGCCTTCGTCGGGATATCCGGGACAACTACAAGGTTGAATCGACAGATCAGCCCTAGTCTTATACCACTTAACATGCATATGAAAGGCATCTTGAAACCCTGATATCGACGTTCAAGAATTCCGACCAATCTTGTTTACTATGCCTAGGTCACTGAAGATCTTGCAAGATCACATCACGCAAGTGGAGAGCCAGTACGATCTTCTCAACGAGGAGATGGCCAAGGGCGAAAACGCTGGATATGGGAAGGAGTCCATGTCTCAGACCAGTGGTCGTCTGTCAGGAATATATTTACTTCCCCAAACGATATCGGGCCCAAGTGTTTTTCTCTTGATGTCAGGTGGTGGAAATCAGCGCACCAGAAGATGAACGCAGCCACTTTTGTGTCTGAAACTCAGTAAATTGGATTTGATCTTTACTGGCTGAAATTGAAGCAAAGAAAAAAACACAGTGGACCCACAAATTAGAATGCTTTATTCTTGACTATTTCAAACATGCTATCCCATGTCAGCCCTACTCAACTCCAAGACATGGGCCCGTTTGAGGTCCTCTCGTGCCACTGCTGCAGAGCAGAAGGTGAAGCACTGGCCTCAGGTTCCGAGGAGATTGGAATGATCTTTTGAACAGCCAGTTCACCAATTCATTCAAGAATCGTTTCAACAGATTTCATGGTTTATGCTATCAGGAAATCGAAGCAGTTTTTCGACAAGAAGGAAGCTGGCAAAAACTCTGATAGCAAGAAACCTGATGCTTCCGATGCTACCAAGCCCGCCCGCAGAGTCCGCAGTGAGAACAAAAAACATAAGAAGAAATGAACATGTTTTCCAATGTTTTGGCAGAATGCCATGCCGTCTCTTCGAACTTCAGCCCTTGAAGGATGTGTTGGGCCAGTGTTTTGATTATTTTTGATTAAGAAACTATAGGATTTATGATGTCATAGGTTATGTGAATTTGACTTATATAATGCTTTCATTTTGTTTGGCCACCATTCCTTCAAATTCAAGTGAAGCGATCAGGCAGCCAAGTCCGGGTAGCCATGCCCATATCCAAGCTCTGCGCACTGCACTGCACTTTTGGCTTGGGACCTCATTCAACAGCCACACTGATACCAATCAAAACCGATGCAGTGTCAGAGCTTCAGCTGACTCTAACCACATACCATGTGTGGTCCTACTCAATATGTTTGGAAATTCCAAGCTCGAACATCCTTGGGGACCTGGGTGTTCGGAAAAAAAAGGATTGGTTGCAGTCTGCTTTCCCCAATCTTATCTCTACCCACAAGACTTGTCAGCTTAAAACCCGTGCACTTGCCAGGTGCCGGACGAGGATTGAAGAGCTTCGTCCAAGAAATAGGCCATGGTGTCCACAACTCAGCGCAGGGGCGGCACCGCCACAAACGAATGTCTTTCTTGACTGGGATTAGTTGACATATGCTAACACCTGACATGCACTTTCAATCCAATATTTCCATCAGAAAATCTTACGAAGTTAGTTTGGAGTAACCTGGATGTGATTGGACCAAGCCAACAACGTCTATTTAATTCTATTTATATCATAAATTTCTATATCAACCCCACTGGCCCACTGTTTTTATCATGTTTTATCTGTGTTTGTTTTTACAAGAAACCCTCTGGCCCTAAGGTGCCATGTGCTGTGGCAATCCGGACTGCAAAGGCCGTCGCGGAAGAGGTCCCAGAGGTTTCAAAGTCTAGTTTGGGGAGGCTAGCTGAAATGGGAGAAAAAAATTCAGAACGTGATGTACATAGATTGACCAAAAAATTCAAGCTCACCTTGCCGGTGCAGATGTCAACCTTTAAAGTTGGCCGGGAACAGATTCACTACATCAAAATGACTGCATGGGCACAATTCCTGCTCAGCCGAAACCTATGGCACCACCTTGCTGGACTTGATTCACCTGACATGGACAAATGTCAACAAACTTGGACTCTATTCTGGGAACGATTCAAAAAGATGAGACCCAGCCACGAAGTCTTTGGTCGCCCTGGTTTTGACTTTTCAAGATGCTGTGGATTGCTCTTGCACGGTGATGAAGGCCGTGGACTTCGCAAGTCAGCAGTGCTTGTGTTGGCAGCTCACAGCATTTTGGGATACGGAATACGGACAAGCCGCAAGAGCAACAAGGATGATGTTCACAAACTGAACTACTTGAAATCCACTTGGGTTACACGTTTCCTGCTGGGAATTTTGCCAAAGTCCATGTATTCCATGGATGAAAATGCTGGTCAAGATGATGAATGTGATGATGGTGGCTTCCAATCTGATGTTTATGAAGGTCTCCTGAATGTTGTTGCCAAAGACTTGCGACATCTTTTTGAACATGGCATTGTCAACCCGTTGGATGGGCAAAGGTATTTTTTCTGCATCGTGAACGTGATGGGCGATTGGCCCTTTATTCAACGTGCTGGGCATTTGGCCCGATCGTTTTACAATGCAGCCAAGCATGCTAGAGCCTCACAGACAACAATCCCCAAAGGGATTTGCCACAGGTGCTTGGCAGACCGTCCAGGATGTGTTTGGGAAGATTTTGAAAGCATTCCGCCACCATGGGAACCTTCCATGAACACTGAGTCGCCTTTCATTACTGAACCATGCTTGCTGCAATTGCCACATATGAGAAATGATCCTGCAGAGTTGTTCTCATGGGATTTATTCCACACATGGCACATTGGTTGTGGAAAGACATTCCTGGGTACAGCAATTATTGTTCTTGCTACAAGCTGCATTTTTGCAGGTGGTGTCGACAAACGACTGGAACTATTGACAGAACGCTTCCAGATTTGGTGTGACAGAATGAGACTGAAACCTCACATACGAAAACTTAGCAAGGAGAACCTCAGCTGGCCAACTACGACAAGCTACCCTTCAGGGGTTTGGTCAAAGGGGCACACAACACGTGTGTTGAACAAATGGTTCATTGCTGAGTGCAATGCGTATGCGGAGGAAGTTCGTTCAGACAGACTTTTGACCATTGCCTACCGATGCTCTGTTTCGATTGAAAAATTTTTGAAAGGGCTGTACAGCTATGAGCTGTGGATACCGTCCGCAGCTGCCCTGGAAATCGCTGACTATGGACTAAATTTTTTGATGTGGTACGGGAGAGGGGCGAGAGAAGCCTTCCAAAACTCCAGGAGACTTTTTTTCATGATGCCAAACCTACACAGGCTGCACCACATTGCATGGGATCTGAAAGATGCTGCCAAAAAATTAGATTTTGTACCAAATCCTCTGGCTTGGTCGACCCAACCGTCAGAGGATTATATTGGAAGACCAAGCCGGATAAGCCGTAGGGTCAGTCCAAGGCTCCAAGTGCTTCGGACACTTCAACGTAGTTTGATTGCTGCACGTGCAGCTTATAGAAACATGGGTCTCATTTTGGATTGAGATATATAATCTTAAAAAACAGTGGGCCAGTTGCTATCACATGTGTATAACCCAGGTTGTTTTGACTGAGAGCCCAGCTATTCGAATGTTGCTCAGCTCGAAGGGCATGTTGATCACCGCGAAAAGATTGAAAAGGCCACGGGGAGGAAATGATGGTGGTTTGGGAGGTGTATAGATGAGTATACCCCTTAGTACCCCTTTATTATAGTTTGCTGATATCTCAAATCATCAAAAACCTGCATTTCACTCCAATAACCGGGTTATTTTTAAGATCCTACTTTTTCTTGGGGTATGGAGGATAAAGGTATATATATAGATATACATACGTATTATACAAGAGTGCAGCACCTGTCCGTCCATATCATACTTCTTTTGGAAGCGTTCCTGGCTCCACAATTCGAGGTCTATGCCTTTGACACCCTGATCAATCCGTTGGATCCCAGCACCGAGCTGATCTACTACAACGCTAGAAACGGATACAAGGACTTGGATCATCTTGGACCTGGAAAGTTCATGAAAGTTCATGAAAATTTCATTGCGGTCCCCAGCTGACATTTCATGGTCAACACACGCTATGGCGAATACGACGCTTGAGTCGCAGTACCCAGTGGCACCGGCATTCGCTGCAGGATGCCTTTGAGGAGGCTGGAGTCTCGAGGTTTCCAGTGGAATTCATCCAAAAGGCGCGACCAGTACCAGGAAATCTGCCACTGCCAGTGCCTATCATTTATGTTTAAGGTGAGTAAATTGAACACTGATGGCCTTTGTGTGGGCTGTTTCAGGCAATAAAATTGATCAGAAATCAATCAGCCGGGCTGGCATCGATCCAAACCCAAGAGTTCCCCAGAAGTGATTGGCCATTTACTAGCAATTTATTGGCAATAGACCCAAAATTATGACTCAGACTCAAAGTCCAAAAATTCCAAAGCAAAGTTGTTGCCAAACATACAGTCGTTGCGAGGAAAGGCACTGATTTCCTAGACAAGTTTGACGGATGTATCGAATGCTGATTGGAAGACAAATGTTGCACCGGAAGAATGGCTCATATTGAAACACGGAAATCTGCTTAAAAGCGAAATAATTTTACCAGCAAAATCGGTATTTATATGTATTTATTGGAATAGAGGGGACAAACACGCGAACTTTCTAACACTGATGATTCACAATTTTGCATACTCTCTCCCGAAAGGTTGGGTGATGGTCATGCTTCTGCAGTTGAGTCCGGTCAGCTGGGCGTTTCCTATATATAAGCATTCAATGCTGCGAGGCTAAATCAGGTTGAGCCTGTGTTGCTTCCAGCAGTGAGCAGCTGAGGGAATTCGTGCGGCCCTCTGAAATCCATGTCGTATAGAACAGGTGCTGCATGCTGTCAATGTTGTTGACATTCTTAGATTCTTTGGAATATATAAATAATATAATAAATATACTGTATATAGTGTATACAGTAAGTGGTTCGCTTGACTGCAGCAACTACCGTCTCAGATGCGTCATTCACGACCAGTGTGAGTGGCGTGTTTGAGAACTTCCAGCGCTCCTGTCCTAGATTCGATTCTTTGAGCTGAGCACCTCGGCTAATATCCGCCATTGAGCCCCAAAACCTTTGTCCATGGTGATAAAAGCTGTTGAAACCAAATTGTCATGTTGCTTGATTAGTCAATTGGTTGAGGTCTATCCAGAAATGTGTCGCTCTTTGATTTGCTTTGTCACGGCGAACGTCTGGAACAGAGCCCTGTGTTGGCTGGTGGAACCCTCAAGACAATCGCCCCCCTTTGGCAAATCTTGAGCCCCAAAACCTTTGTCCCAACTACCTTCTCAGATGCGTCTAGCAATATGTTTAAGGTGAGTAAATTGAACACTGATGGCCTTTGTGTGGGCTGTTTCAGGCAATAAAATTGATCAGAAATCAATCAGCCGGGCTGGCATCGATCCAAACCCAAGAGTTCCCCAGAAGTGATTGGCCATTTACTAGCAATTTATTGGCAATAGACCCAAAATTATGACTCAGACTCAAAGTCCAAAAATTCCAAAGCAAAGTTGTTGCCAAACATACAGTCGTTGCGAGGAAAGGCACTGATTTCCTAGACAAGTTTGACGGATGTATCGAATGCTGATTGGAAGACAAATGTTGCACCGGAAGAATGGCTGTCATATTGAAACACGGAAATCTGCTTAAAAGCGAAATAATTTTACCAGCAAAAACGGTATTTATATGTATTTATTGGAATAGAGGGGACAAACACGCGAACTTTCTAACACTGATGATTCACAATTTTGCATAATCTCTCCCGAAAGGTTGGGTGATGGTCATGCTTCTGCAGTTGAGTCCGGTCAGCTGGGCGTTTCCTATATATAAGCATTCAATGCTGCGAGGCTAAATCAGGTTGAGCCTGTGTTGCTTCCAGCAGTGAGCAGCTGAGGGAATTCGTGTGGCCCTCTGAAATCCATGTCGTATAGAACAGGTGCTGCATGCTGTCAATGTTGTTGACATTCTTAGATTCTTTGGAATATATAAATAATATAATAAATATACTGTATATAGTGTATACAGTAAGTGGTTCGCTTGACTGCAGCAACTACCGTCTCAGATGCGTCATTCACGACCAGTGTGAGTGGCGTGTTTGAGAACTTCCAGCGCTCCTGTCCTAGATTCGATTCTTTGAGCTGAGCACCTCGGCTAATATCCGCCATTGAGCCCCAAAACCTTTGTCCATGGTGATAAAAGCTGTTGAAACCAAATTGTCATGTTGCTTGATTAGTCAATTGGTTGAGGTCTATCCAGAAATGTGTCGCTCTTTGATTTGCTTTGTCACGGCGAACGTCTGGAACAGAGCCCTGTGTTGGCTGGTGGAACCCTCAAGACAATCGCCCCCCTTTGGCAAATCTTGATTTTGCCTGCTTGGGAGTTTGTAGAACCGTCAGATGCTTCGCTGGGGTTTTTATGCACACTGCAGTCACTGCAGACTGTTTTGCTGCCGTCAGCGCTTCAAGCTGTGGCATAGACTGGGCAAATGCTCCAGATTTCAAGGCCATCAGTGCCTTCGCTGGAAACCTATGTTGACTGCCGAAGCACCTGCAGACCGTAGTTACCATAGTTGAACTGCGTGAACAAAAGGGTTGCTGCTTTGAGACGATGATTGCATCATATATTGCTTGCATTTCAGAGACATGGCAGTTATAACATCTAGCATTCCACGGTCATGGATGCATATTGAATCGTATCAAGGTGCGTCTTACTGCGAAGCGCGTGATTTGCGCCATCGGCAGAGAAAGGCGTTGGCCGAGCTGTTGGGGTTGTCCTTGGGCATCACCGGAAAACAGTGGAGCTGGATGGAACTGGCTCAATTTGCGGCATCATGGCTTTCTCAGAATCAATATACTAGTACATCACAAAATATCACAAACCAGTAAATTTTGCAAATATCACAAACAATGTAGCAGCGTATTCAAATGACAAGAAGCGCTGCAGCGCAATTCACGAAGAAGACATCGAATTTCTGCCAGAATTGGTTGCAATTTATCGATTCCCATAGGATCCTATAGGAATGTCGCAACAGTGAATCAACAGGGCACCATTTTGCCGCGACCCAGCTTCGCCTCCGCCAGGCGATGTGCGGTAGATGCTTTGACGCTGGTTTTGAAGGATCCAAACGAATATGCCAAAAACTCAGCTGCAAAGATGTGCAACACAAATATCACAAATGCACCTGATCCAACTTGAGACTCAGACATTTTTGGCAGTGTTTGAACTCGAAAAATTGAGCTTTGCCAATGTCTACTCACTCATGCTTGGTTTCGTCGCGGCTGAACCCACAATAAGCCAGACAGCGACACCAGAGTGAACAGATTGTCTATTTAAATCTAAATCTATTTAATATGTCAAACCGCACTGGCTGTCGAATCCTGATTCCCCAGGCTCGCTTGCTGGCCGCAGATACTTTCAAGAGTGGAAGAGCCCAGCATGAGCATAGCATAAGCATAGCATGAGCAGCCCTATATATATAATATTATATAATAATATATATATATATGATATATACGTATTATATTTAATATATAATAAGTAATATTATATAATAAATATACTTTGGAAGACCCTTGACAGATGCGTGGAGGCTCATCGTCAACTGCAAGTTTACCATTGCCCTCAACCCAGCATGAACTACATAAACCATGATAAACCCGGTGGACCGTCCACCGACAGCGGCAACGGTCACTATATCATCGACGTGCCAAGGCGTCGTGGGGAAGTTGGAGCCTCGGGCAATGAAGCGCACCATGCGCTTGGTGCGCCGGAGCTCGGTCTCAGGTGGGGTCGGTGACATGTCATAGGCCCCATGGATCCCCATATATCCCCATGGATCCCCATGGTGCCACCAAAGATCACCAAAGATCCAAGGAGAACAGCTTTGTGATATAGCTTCTATGTTTATTTATGTTTATGTTTTTTTTGTGGCACTATAGGGGAAACTAATGGTAAACTCATCTTAGGTTGATTGTCTTACAACTATACTGAAATCACCCGCCGGTTTGTTTCAAATTTCTGCAAGCAATCAGCGGTCATGAGCCCAACAAAGGTGTTCGGGAAGCCGCCGCCAAAGCCATGGCCTTCTGCCAGAAGGAGACGGAGGCACACGTGGAACAGGACTGCACCGGAGATGAAATTCCCGGAAGATCATGGGAAGATCATGGGAAGATCCCGATTTTGATTTTGGGATTTTGGATTGTCCAATTCTTGGTGGTGGAGTCGTGGAGTCCCACGTAATAGATTGAGCCAACTGGTGATCCCTACATTGCCTTTCATAGGTTAAACATATTTGAAAATAACATGTTTAGTTGCGTGATTCAGGACTCTGTTATGACTCAATGACCCATCGGAATGCGTTTGTTTCTTGCTGAAGGACCCAAAGGTCATCCTTGCAGCTTCCAAGATGGCGATGAAGTGCCGAACCCCCGTGGTTGTGCTGAGGAAGATCATATTGACCAGATTTCCTCCATAGATCATTGACACAGTTTAATCATGTTTAATCATGTTTTATCATATTTTATCATGTCTTATCATTGTCATGTTTTATCATGTTTTATCCATTCACTTTGGATTCATCTGTAATAATTATAGGAGTTGCCCCCAGTTGCCTTTATTTACAGGGGTGGGGGGTGGCATGGCGGCGTATGGATGACAAGTTGCTGTGAGTTCAAGGTTTCCATCCACGGAACTTGTGAGCTGGAGCCGTGACAGATCAAGCCCGGCAGCTTTATAACATGAAATGATGGGTAAATATTGGTAACATCAGAGGTTGATCAGGTTGAAAAGAATGACGTTGGAAGCCAACAGGATATTCTGTGTTTCCCACCGATAGTTCTAAAAACTGATTTGGAGGTAGTGCGCAAACACGTTGTGAAATTTCTCGAGGATTCCCACCGATTCATGCTTTCATCAACAGTGAAAGCAAAAACCAATCGTTGTACGATTCTCCGGTCCGAAGCCATGCTGCGGAAAACGCAGCGGTTGCGGGCAGCCCTGCCTGGGCTGGTCCGGCAGTGGCATCGGTTGACTCGCAATGGCCGTGGATTCAGCACAGGTTGGGATATCTGTCAGATGCTGCCTAAACTTGCTAAGCCTTTGAACAACTTCATGGTACCCTTACACTGCAGATCAGATTGCATCGACTTTTGACATCATCATGCAGCCATAGACATGTCAAGCAAACTGAACTGCCATTCAGTATGTGTCTGTTGTAAACACTACCGTTTCGTCACATTTATGCAGCTATTTCCTTCCTGTCCAAGCAGACTCTCCTGAGCAGTTGTGCCATGTTGTGCCGTTCTCTGGTTGAAATATTTCATTTGCAAGATTGCACCGGGACTCTTCCACCCTTTTTACTAATTTTGACTAGCAGTCAAAGATAGACATTTGTACCACACAAAGGCCAAAAAGCAGGGACAGCAGCACAATGGCTAGTTGTGGCTAGTTGTGATCGGATTTCAAGATGTTTCAAGACTATCCTGATTTTCCCAACACATCCCAACACATCATAGCCGGAGTACATTGCCTCTGAGAATCGCAGAGTTATGGTGCTGCCAGACTTGCGACAGGCGAAGTGCAATCGAGATCCGGATCATCCTTAGCTGGTGTAGTCGGTGGCTTTGCTGTGGGTGCAATCACAGCAGGTGCCACAGCATACTATTTCTTGCAGGTGGGCCAGACTGGAGGGTGCAAAAGAGCAAAGACGGAGGTTGTTGAGGAACCCCAAATGAAGACACCGTTGAAATTGAAATCATTTGAAAACCGTTGGACCACAGATTCAAATCCAGTTGATAGGCCTTTACAAACATGTTGCACTTCAAATTCAAGTGCTTTGAGAGAAATGATATGCACATTGTTTTCTTAGTCAATAGATTCTCCCATGCATTCACAGGCTCCAAGCACTCCGCCCGAGAAAGGGGCCACGAAGGTGAAGCAGGTGCCACCTGAATGTCAGCTGAAAAGTTGACGCTACTGCCATGCTGATCGCTGGGAGTTTCCAACCTTTGTTTGGACTTTCAACTGTGACCATCAACTACGACAAGGGAGAATGCAATGACAATCTATGACTATGACACAAACATAGTGGTCAGATGTTTTTTTTACATTGCGACATACACTGCTAAACACACATACTATATCATACTATCACAATTATCAAAATACTGCAGATAGATTAAACATCTGGTCTCACCAGATAGATATATTGTCCCATCATGTCCTAAGTTGGAGGGTTGACCCGGAGACCAGTACAGACAAAAGTCCGAAAGCTGTCCAAGGTTGCAACACTGCCCAAGAGTTCCAAACTCATTGTAGCAGTTTCACAGCCATTCGCATACTATCTTGAAACAGGGTTGATTCAAATTGTACTCGTTTTCATTCATTCTCGCCTTCGCGCAATTATATGAACAGCGGACATCCTGGCAGATCCGCAGGCCCTGGCAAATCAATGCAAACAACACATATCAATCAAATTCAACCCATATAAAAGGTCGACGAATTGAAAAAAGAGAGCAGGCAGCATCCAGCAACCATATGGGATCCATATCTCTCAGGAGATTGCAACGCCGGTGGCCAAAGAGAAGCCACAGGTGGGGCTACTTCGGCCATCGGATGCCTTGGGTTTTGATTTGGAGGTCCAATTTCTTGATGAACTCTCAGCAACTGACCTTTTAGTACAATGTAGTCTTTGTATTTGTATGTTTTTGTCCCGGTTGCATTTCCTCTAACTCTTTGTCTCGGGACAGACAGGTAGCATCTGCAGGTTGATAAATGTTGATAATCAGATTTTTGTATTTTGATTGTGTTTGATCCAGGCAGATAATTGCGATGAATTGCTTATATCATGTATAACGTTGCAGTGACCAACTCATGCCAGGCGGAGAAAAGCAGTGAAGCAAAGGCCGAGAAAGTTGTTGAGGTCGAACAGACCATCGAGATGGAGAAGACTGAGAAGACCATTGTAGAGTCGACTAAGGTGGGGAATTCTGTGGATTTGGATGGGATGGGCAAATGATACCTCCACGGAAAGCTGTTTTAATATTTTAAATTTTAATGAAATCTAGGTTTGGATATGTATTTGTAGACGTGTATGATCATGTAATCATGTATATACTCTGTGTCACCTGGTGGAAATGTTCAGACAAGATCTGCAATGTCAGGAAGTCAACATGCATTTCGTAGAAAGCCGATATATTGTAGGTTCCTATATCGTTCCTTTGGTTGTTTTACCCTTCAGGCAGTTCAGCAGTTGATTTAATTTCAGGTGGTTAGGCGCAAGGTTGGGAATCTTATGGCCTCTGCCCCAAAACTCACCTTTGCAGCAAGGAAGTTGTGCCTGAGCCAACCCCAGAGGAGATTGAGGAGGTCCCTTGCTGAGCCAGTCATATTTTCCAAACCAGATGCATGTTGTGGCTGATGGACTCTCGCCACTGCCAATATCTGGGGCCTGGGTCCGATCAATAGAGGTGGAGGGTGTGCTAAGATCTTTGGCGCCATGCAATATCTTTGTTCTGTTGAACTTAATGCTTGTGTACATTTGTGATTAGATGTTTACAGGGCATCCTTGATGGACATGTCATATCTATGTTTATACCGCCACTTCTTTTTTTTACCAGCATATATACTTGGTATATCTTCATATCACAGACATGGACCAATTGGCGCTTATCGACCGGAGCTGTCGTTGACAGGCCAACAAGAAGAAGGAGATGTTGAAGATCTTGCAGGATGCAATGGGTGAAAACAGATACGATGCTTTTGGTAGTGTATATATTGGAATGACATGGAATGACATCACGAACATCATAGTAGCCTGATGGCAATTAAACTTCGAGTCCGAATATCATCACGAATTTCGACTATACCGACTGACCTAAATTCTGGCATTCGTCAGGATGATTGTGAGCTGTCAGCATGTCAGCACCCAAACCCCATTTTGAACAGATGAAAGTCTTTGTTTGCGTCCCTAAGGAGAAGGTTGTTGCAACAACTTTGAGTGGTTTTCAATGGTTTTCAACGGAAATTCTGGGAGACATCTCAAGAAACATCAGCGGCAGCGATCATTTGGGTCTTTCGTGCGTCAACATTTGGACCTCGCTGGGACAGGTCCAAAGCGCAGAGGTGTCTTCATTGGCCTCCAATGCCTTGCAACAGGTGGAAACGGCTCATCAGAGCAGCAGGGTCTCCCAGGTTTGATGAGCCATTTGGAGGTAGGAAGTTGGTGGACCCTGCCGCAAAGTGTGGCCAGAGCACACTCGGTTAAGGCTCCCAGAGGAGAGAAGCAGCCTTGGCGCGACTGAAACATGTTTTAGCCGTGGCACTCAGTGCTTGCAAGTCTGGTACTGTAGAGACACAAGTTTGGCGGTGATCTAGTGATTGTGATGCAAGTCACTGATCCGGTGCAATCGCAAAACATTTGGTCGTGTTTGGCCGACTTCACTCCTTCAAACAAAGCTGAGAGGCAATGATTGATAATCATGATTTAACATCCTAGACAAGAAGTTTTTACAGACGGTGATTCTTTTCTGCGGCTGTTGAATTATGTTCAATGGATCATGTTGTTTTTTGCTGGATACGTACATGATAATATATACGTAATTATACTGTATATATATATAGTATATATATATATACACACTATTACACTATATCAATCTAAATCACACTATCTACTCTGATGGCGGTGATTTTTTCTTTATTCAGCGAGTGATGGGTCGGACCCAGGAAGTGGGCGACATGAGCCTCATTGCAGAGGCCTTGGCGGAGGCAAAGGCCGCAGCTGTTCCAAGTGGTGCAGCGGGTTTCCCAGGGGATGGAAGGGATGGCACCACAGCCATCATGGGGCCATGGGGCACGAACTTTCACAGCGGAATGGCGCACCAAGGCCGAGATGATGTTGGCAGAAGGTCTCGGTGTCGAGGCGGTGGCTTTGCACAACCTGACCTGTGAATGTTCTAACGGTTGTAACGAATACCAGGATATACCAGGAATAATTAATATTAATATGTTTACTGTTTCGATCTGTTTGGAAGTTTTATACCATCGTGTGTGTGTGTGTGTCCCCTCGCTCCATTTACACTTGCCAAGCTTTCAGATGTACCGTATGTATTTATATCATTTTATACTCCTGGTTTCAAGTGCGATCACTGATCCTTGTCAGCGCTGCAGACTTCCACACAGATAGAGGATTTGCTGGATATGGCAGAGGTGGGGAACAGGTTTGACTTTGGTGGCCGAAAGACCCGAAGGTCAAGCCAGTGCAACATCAGGGGATATCAGGGGATACATGATGGATACAACATGATACCAGGGGAGTGCAAAGCTTTGTCCCAAACATGTCTGCGTGTGTTTTAATTCTGCAAGCAGAATTTTGTTTGTCGTCCATGCACAGCCAGGAATTTCGTGTCGAACCACAACAAGCACGGGCCGCCGAACTTGAACGATGTCAAGGGAAGAGCCGGAAGGACGGAGTCTGTGCAGGTGTGCTTCCATGTCATTCCACATATTTCCACATCCAAATGACCGTTGAACAGCTCTTTTCTCCATGACGTTTGAGTTCTCGCAAAGCCGTCCAAAATTTCTTGCAGAAATTAGTTATTGAATGTTATTGATGCAATCAACATCAAATAACCAATGAACATCAGTCAATGCGGGTCTTGTTTCCTCGGTGGATATATCAAACCGATCAAACATAGGTTGAGCGGGTTGAGGAGCTGGAGCAGCGCCTGGTGGAGCTGACGCGCATGTTGGCGTCTGCCAGGTTGCATTCCAAGGCGCGTTTGGAGCAGGCGCGGTGACGCGGTGTGCAATGTTTGGAGCTAGCGGTTGACGGGACATCACAGTTGGATGTTGGTGGCTTAGAGATGCTATGACATGCTAAAAGTGTTTCTGATACTTTCTGATAATGATTAAACAGGAATTAACCATGATTAAACATTAAACGGAAAACTCTGGCTGAAGCAATTTCAAGGAGGACAGTGATGGGCAGCTAGGGAGACGATGCGACCCCACACTGCCATACACTGGCTGCAGAATCAAGGCGTTGCAGACAAAGATGACGCAACACGAGTTGCAAGCCTTGAAAGTGGCAAACTGAGATCCTTCCTGGTTCATTGCTGCTGAGGCTCATCTTGTGCTGAGCTCTTTCATTAAGATCAATCATATTAGATCATATTAGTACCTACATGACATGGTATGAGATATACATGTCCACTTGCACACAGTCTCACATAAGACAGCATGGCCATGGTTCAGCAAGCTCAGGCGCTCTATACATCTTTGAAGGAAGCCGAGAAGGACTTTGACCAGGTGAGGAAACTTGAACGAGCTATAGTCTCCTGTGCATTCCTGTTGACCCAGTAAGTTTTTGATAGTTTTTGTGTATGGTTGCGCCACAGTTGTGTCATGTTGTGATGCTTACCAGCCGAGCTCATGGCAGGCAGCCGAGGTTGAGTTCCAAGAGTTAAAGCAGGAACTGAGAAAGCAGCAGGAGGCCGGGCATGATGTCAGATTTTAGACATGGAGATACTCCCAAACAATCTGAAAGAGATCTCTGCAAACCAATTTGTATACATGCAGTTGTCCAGTGTAGAAGTCTGTCCGCTGCGCGATGGAAGTAATGCCTGTAATTTCATTTGATATCATAGATCAACTGGCCTTCTTTGTGCAGCGATACATAGACAGATAGTCCATCCTCTTTAATTATGAGCGTGTTGTGTTTCCTAAATAGTTATAGGACCTCCAATGACTACAGTACCCAAATCTCCCAAGTAGGAAGCGATTGCAGCTGTCGGCAGACCCAGATGCTCAGAGTATCTCAGATCTTGCCTGGGTGCCGTCAGATATCTTAACAATATACTGTATCCAATCGAATTCCTATGAATTTCCTTGATGATAAGCTTTGAACCTTTAAACCTCATCGGTTGATATCGGTTGGAGATGGAGACGAGCTTGAGTCTATTCACGATGAAATTCTGATTTTGCCCTCGAGCAATGCGTCATTGTTGAGCGGGCAGCAGACTTTACCATGACTGGCTAC